TGTGTGTGTGTGTGTGTTTTCTTATCCAGCCCCCCCCCACCACACACACACACAGACACACACACACAGTCTGCATTCTTATTAAAGTGCTGCAGAGGGGAACAGCCATTGGTTTGTGTTGACTCCACCCAGGACAACTCCTGATAGGGATCCACTGGACACGCGATGACACTGGGAATAAAATAAATGGGGAATGACAAGAGAAGGGAGGGGGATTAATGCTAAGGAGGAGAGGAGAGGAGAGGATTCACTCTCTGCTTCTTCCATTCTTTGCACTTGGACTACAAGTTCAAGCCCCAACAGAACTACAAATTCCAAAATTCCTGGCTGGAAATCACGCAAGGTCCCAAAAGCAGTGGAGCTGACTGTCAGTTAGTTAGGTAGCACTGGAGAAATAGGTCATAGAGCTAAAAATACTTATCTATGTCTCTCTCTTTTTCTTCCTCTCTCCGTCTCTCTTGAAAATGTCGTCTTAAAAAAAGACAGAGTAAAACAGATAGAAAGTCTAAATAATGGGGGTGATGAAAGGAATAACTCGGAAAAAGAAATACCCTTAAAAACATCAGACCTGAGGCTCACTCCCACGAAGTGAGAAAAAAACTGAGAGCAAGAAAGGGAACAAGGGAGTGCAACTGTGTGAATGTTCCCTGGTGTGTGTGTGTGTGTGTGTGTGTGTGTGTGTGTGTGTGTGAGCCCCCATCCACACGGGTGATACTACTCAAATGAGCGAGTGAAGGAATGAGAGGCAGAGGCTGAAAGAAGAGAGAAAGATCTGGAAATGGATGCACAGGCTGTGGCGCGGGGCTGTTTGCACACAGAGCCGGTTATTACATGGAACTCATTTAGCCTGGCTCAGTCAGGCAGGACAGAAAATAATATTATATAGGCCCCTGCCACAACCGCTGCCAATACCACAGCAAACCATTATCTACATCTCTGCCTCCACAACCAGCACGAGGAAGTAATATCTTTGAGACATACACGCAACATCAACTGCCATAGTGACTAATTCTGCCACCTCTCTAATTGATTATAATAATGTGAGATTCTAGCTGTCAATTTGATTTGATTGCACTTTGTTCCTTAAAATATTTCCAGTTTAAAATATTTTGTCATCTGTTTCATAAGCAGGAAGCATCAGAAATGAACAACCGCCATTTGGAGGCAGGGTCTTCATGTCTCCTTTGTAACTAAAACAACACTTTGTGATGCCGCTAATGGTATAATTTGGTATGAGCAGTGGACTAAAAAACACTTTATGTCAGTGGATAATCCAAATCTAGAGTAAATCCCTCCAAAGGAACTGTTAGGAATGAGCTTTCCGACAAGATTTAAAGGGATCTAACAAAACGCACTGAGATTTTCCTGTACTATAGTTTTGCTGAATATTAAAGCAGTGACAATGCACAGAAGTGTGGTGGCAGGTGGGGGGTGGGGGTTAACAGTCGGTAACACAGAGGGCTCAGATGGTTTGAAACCAAAGGTGGAAAAAATAAGGAAAATGAGGAAAGAGAGAGTGAGTCAGAGAGGAAATGGCTGAACAAAAGGGAGACGCCGAAAAAAACAAAACAGTGATGGATGGAGGATGATGGTGAGGAAGACACAGGGAGGGAACGTGAACGATGGGGTGGCAGGGGTGATGGGAGGACAGAGAGGAAATAAGAGGGAGAGAGAAGTAGAGAAGGAGAGAATGGGAGATTAAAAGGAGTCTCTAATCCAGCAGAGAGATAGACGGCGTGAGGGCTGGTAAAAGGAAATGCCCAGTAGATTGGAGGCTGGAGCTGCATGTTCGCTCCTCCACTGATTTGCCTCAGCACACAAATGAAGCCTCAACTGTACTTACTACACACACACACACACACAC